TATATATATAAAGATAAACTAAAAATCACTTTACTATTTCTACAATGTGACCACTAGGTGACGCAAGCCAACAACAGCCAAGCACTCACATTTACCACAATGTTTTTACCCCTTCATTTCTTAACGTATTTAGATGTTTGCAGCCGCGAAATGACTGAAATTATTCAGTGTAGTGATATATGGAGCTGTAACGCATTTAAAACCTGCCGGAACTACTTTAGCTGGGCGTTTATATTCATATTTTGATCAAAATAACTGCACACTTTGAATGCTCATTAGCCGATCAAGTGCAAGCATATTCTAGAAGGCAAATATCTATATCTTAATTAATATTATGTCTTTAGTTGACAATCAGGAATAAAAAATATGATGGAAATCTAAAAGGTGCCTGCTACAGGTACCCTTCTGAAAAGAAACAGCTTAAACCAGCCTACGCTGGTTGGTTGGTTTTAGCTGGTCAACCAGGAAGGTTTTAGAGGGTTTTTTAGCCACTTCCATTTCCAGTCTTGGCTGGTCAGGCTGGGAGATGACCAGCTAAAACCAGCTTGACCAGCCTAGCCAGCTTAACCAGGATGGTCAAGCTGGTTTTAGCTGGTACCATTGTGGATAATCAATACCTCATATCTTACCTAACAATAAAAATTGCCATGTATTCCATTCATTCATTTTCTTTTCACCTTAATCCCTTTATTAATCTGGGGTCACCACAGCGGAATGAACCGCCAACTTATCCAGCATAAGTTTAATGCAGCGGATGACCTTCCAGCTGCAACTCATCTCTGGGAAACACCCATACACTCTCATACTCACACACATACACTACAGCCAATTTAGTTAATCCAATTCACCTACTTGTGGGGGAACCGGAGCACCCAGAGGAAACCCACGCCAACACAAGGAGAACATGCAAACTCCACACAGAAATGCTAACTGTCCCAGCCGAGGCTCAAACCAGCGACCTTCTTGCTGTAAAGCGATTGTGTTACCCACTGTGCCACCGCGCGCTGCCCAAATTTTCAAATAATGTACATAATAATTTAACAACCAAAATGTTTACCTAATTTATTTACTTGATAGTGCTTTGTAAAGCAATAAGCAAATAGATTACAAAGTAAACCGGTGTTTTAGTGAATGTCCTAAAAACGAGTTTTGTTTGCGTCTAGCAGATCTTTAATGAGATAACCCTGTCAAAAACATGTTTTTTTTTTTTATCCAGTCATGATAATGTTTAACTGGTTCTATTGTGTGACCACTAGATGGCGCAAGTCAATAGCCAAAGTACACAGATTTAACACGTTCTTTTCCCCCTTCGTTTTTAAGGATTTTGTAGTCTTAAATAACTGAAATCATTCAGCGCAGTGATATAATGCGCTCAGAACTACTATATCTGTGCGTTTATATGACAATAACAGCACCCTAGAATGCTCATCAGCCAATCAGAATCAAGCTAAAGTAGGCCTATTCAAGAATGCACACATCTATTATGTCAATATTTATGTCTGTTTAAAATAAAAACAGCATGATAGAAATCTAAAAGGCGTCTATGATAATTCATTTCACCTTTATTTGTATAGCGCTTTTACAATGTAGATCGTGTCAAAGCAGCTTCACATAGTTAGCTGATATAAATGGGTAAAGCAAGTATTCATATCTTACGTGACCAACAATAATTTAAATTTCATGTACATGTATACAATATCACATATGATTGAACACAGTTAAAGTTTACGCCATCTTTCTTTCATCACGACAGCTTCTTATACACAAATGACACTTCACACGTAGATATGTTTATATTTCTCTCGAATAATAAACACACCTTTTATTATCATTCATTCATTTTTTTGTCGGCTTAGTCCCTTTATTAATCCGGGGTTGCCACAGCAGAATGAACTCGCCAGCACGTTTTTTACACAGCGGATGCCCTTCCAGCCGCAACCCATCTCTGGGAAACATCCACACACACACTCATACACTACGGACAATTTAGCCTACCCAGTTCACCTGTACCGCATGTCTTTGAACTGTGGGGGAAACTGGAGCACCCGGAGGAAACCCACGCGTAGGCAGGGAGAACATGCAAACTCCACACAGAAACACCAACTGAGCCGAGATTCGACCCAGCGACCCAGAGACCTTCTTGCTGTGAGGCGACAGCACTACCTACTGCGCCACTGCCTCGCCTTTATTATTATTATTACAAACATACAACACAATACAAAATATGAAACCCCAAAAAAACTAAAATAACAATGGTAAAAAGCAACAAAAAAACAACAATAAATTAAAATTAATTAATTAATTACATAAACTCACAAAGTATCGTGTACAGCATTTCTAGATCCAATGATTTTAAGAATTGACAGGGGAATCAAAAAAGCGTCATAATAATTGATGCATGTCTCAGATTTTTTGCTTTTCAACAATTTCACAGTAGAAATGAAAGTCAAACTCGATATAAAAACTTAATGTGGGAGATGATTTAGCAAATTTCTGTTTGTGTATGTAAAACTTTGCCAATAAAATAGAGATTAACAATGTATTCAAGACATTTGTTGGATTAAACACACCTTTTGTGTCTGATCGATATCTCACCTGCTTACTTCACTTCCTGCTCCTCCCGTCCGGACCTGTCAATCACCTGATTATGCAACACACTTCGGTTTTCAGTAACCAGTAAAAACTTACATTATAATAAACAGAACAGGTGCAAAAACAACAAAAATACACATATGCCGACATATGAAGTAAATAACACTAAGGAGCGATTAGACGTTAGTTTTTTGTTTGTTTATTTTCGTGTAGCCTTACGTCCTGCACCTTTAGATAAACATAACACTATAAACAACACCGTCATGTCCGGTCTAGAATACATTTTATAGAAGACGTTAGCTTTTCTCTTTGTTTATTTCGTCTAAAGCTTCCTGCTCCTTTAGATAAACCTAAAACGACCCAATAAACTCTATCACGTCCGGTCAGGAGTTCCTGAAGTTCCGCACCGGAAGTTCATTCATAGCGGAGGGTCTCTGGCTTATTTATTTATTTTCTGCACCTCTGGTTATGGTTATAGTTAGTCATCCTTCAGGCCTCCATGACTAACCAGCGGAGGCAAAGACAGGAAGGGGATTTTCAGAAGAAGACGGCTATATTTATCAAGAGTCTTCCTCTTCTCTCTGGACAGATGAGCTTCCGGAAACTGTTTCCCCTAAATAACAGTGACACATTATTTGTCTTTCCTTCTCTAAAGTGTAGATTTCACATGCACGACCACAGCATCAAACAACATTAACAGTGGCCGAGGAGTGCACTTAACAGTTGGTAATATATGATTATATCATGTTCATGTTTTATAATAATGAATTGAACATGAATTATATATTTAATGTATATTTGGGCGATGAGGTAGCTCAGTGCTGTCGCCTCACACCAAGAAGGTCGCTGGTTCGAGCCCTGGCTGGGTCAGTTGGCATTTCTGTGTGGAGTTTGCATGTTCTCCCTGTGTTGGCATGGGTTTCCCGCAGAGTACAAACACATGCGCTTTAGGTGAATTGAATAAACTAAATTGTCCGTAGTCTATGTGTATATGAGAATGTATGGGTGTTTCCCAGTGATTGGGTTGCTGCTGGAAGGGCATACGCTGCGTAAAACATGCTGGAATAGTTGGCGGTTCATTCCTCTGTGGCGACCCCTGATTAATAAAAGAAAATAAATAAATATTAACGAATGATTATTAATATTAAAATATTTTATATTACGTATTATATAAATTATATTAATTTATAATTATATATATATATATATATATAGTTTTACAATTGCACTTTGATAGTAAATAAATTACTGTGTAATTGAAAAAACTTAACATTTTTCCTAAAATAATTGATGAATTTTAATTTAAATATTTTAATGATTTATTATTTAATTAATGCATCATATTTAATGTATTTTTGAAAAAAAAAGAAAACTAATATTTTTGTCTGTTGAATGAACAGTCTACAATATTTTAACATGTTTATAATAATAACTGGATAGAAAAATAATTATTATTATATTAATTAAACAATAAGAATAATTCGATATAAAAATATATCAGTAATTAAATACAGACAAAACATTTTATTTTAATAACATTTTATATTATAATTAATCATCAAAATATTTAAATAAAAATATAATATTTTAAGACAAAAGTGCAATTTATTTATTACAGTGTTCATATGAAATATATTAATATGAATATTTCATATGTATACTTTGTTATAATAATAATAATATAATGTTATAATTGAAATATTATATTTAACAGTAATCATAATACTAATTAATTAATATAATAAATAACTATCTTTCTCTTCATAGTTATTATAATAAAAATGTTAATGTACTTTTGTAAATATTTAAATTAAATGTAAAATATGAATGTATTATTATTATTATGAATAATAATAGTAATAATTAAAATATTAATTGAATATAATTTAAACACAATCATTTATCAGTATTTAAATACAGGCAAAACATTTTATTTTATTATATTTATTATTGTTCAAAAAGGTCATGATTCGCACTCATCAAAAAGTTGCTTCGTACTGTTTTTATTTTTACATTCTTTGGGTGATACAAAAATACAAACGTTTCAGCACAATGCCTTCCTCAGTGTAATATTTATAATTATTATTATTATTTTATTATTATTATTATTATTATTATTATTATTATTATACTGTAACA